AAGCTGGCAGTTCCCCTGGGCCGTGTGTGTGTTGTGTGGGCAGAATGGTGACTTGCATGGTTTTGACTTTGAAGTCCAGCTTCAGGCAAGGCTTGCCCTTTGTACAGGCTGCTACTCTGTGGTTTCACGGGGATCTTTTCTTTAATTTTCGCAATTCTGATCATTTGCTTTTTTTGTTTCTTTGTTCATTGTCGGTCTCTTGGTCTAGGCTGTGAGCTCTGAGGGTCAGAAACCATGTCTACTTGGTTCATCGCTTGCCCCCCTATGTTGGCCCGGGGCCTGGTGCCAGCCACACTTGATATATAGTGGTTGAATGGATGAGCGAGCGACATCAGGACCTGAGATGAACCACAGTGTGGGAGGTGTGGATCTAAAGCAGTAAGTTTGGTCTTTTTCCCGAACATATTTAAACATGAATAGCCCTTAAAGCTGCCCACCTGGCTGTCATTGCTCAGGTCCCTTCTGAAGTGCTCTCTGGGAATTGCCTTTTTTCAGTCTATGAGTTAGCAGCACATTTGTTCAGGACTGTGGCATTTACAAAGTGCTTCTCATATGTTTTCTCATTGGAATAGTCATCCTCATTTTGAAATTAGGACACTTAGTTGCAGATGGAGGTAAATTTGCCATGTCATACAGCAAGTACACGACAGGGTGGACTCGAACCCAGCTCCCCACTGCTGACGGGGTGCTTTTCCTGCTTCTCCCCGACAGTGAGTGCCTTGTCTGGTTTCTGTCAGGGGCCTGGGCCTCTTGTGTGTTTTCTAGGAAAGAGGGTGAGATCACTCCAGCATCTTCCACTAATACTAAATCCATTTTACAAAGCATATTAGAAACCAAAATTGTTTTTTTGGGTCAAGGTGTCCAGGTAGCCATCATAAGTGCTGTTTTTAAAAACTGAGCTCAGACTTTGGCCCGTAACAAGCAGTTCGCCTCCAGCACCCTGTTCTTGTGTCGGCAGCCCGCACCGCACGTCTGGAGCTGTGCTTGGCGCCTTTCCCCGCTCCCCGGCGGGGCTGCTGTGCAGCCAGCGTGTGCTCGGCGTCCCACTGGAGAGCAGTGCTCGTCTGAGTGCGGCTGTGTTCCCAGGACTGGGCATTCAGCCGTCCGGTCTGAAGTAGTCTCTGGCCTTCCCTTTGATTTTATTTTTACTAATGCCAGCCTGCACCCCTTTAAACTGCGGGCCCCAAGGCTAGCTTCCAAAAATAGACCCCACAGGCCGCTGGTCTGTGGGTGGGGCCAGCATTCCAGGAGGGCCTGCTGACCTGAGGGTCTCCTCTGGCCTCTGGTCTAGTCACTCTGCCCCAGGTCAAAAGACCAGAGAAGACACTGGCGCCAGGACCCTCGACTGGCACAGTAGCTGCCCTCTGAGGTAGGACATTGTTCTTTCTTTCCAGTCGAAGGCGGCTTCTCCTATGCTTCCAAGCAAAAGAGAGCGGCTTTGCTCTGCTTTTCCTTTCTGAAAATAGATAAGTGCTTTCAGATATGTTTTCAGAGTCATAAGCTTATGTCATAGCTTATGTCGCCTTTAATAGACCAGCTGTTTGGAGCTGGTCGTCAGTTACGAAATAGAAGTATGGCTGGGGTTTGTGGGAACGGGATCCTCAGTGCTTTTGGTGACACTGAGCCACTCCTTGCCGCATGATTTCAGCATCCTGCTGGAACCCCTCTGCCCTTTAGCCTGATTTTCTTGTGTGTAACATGGCAAATTATTTCGTGACTAATTCTTCTTACAGACCTGAAGTCATTTTTAGTTTTGAACTCTGGAGGGTTTTCAGATCCCCTCCTTTGATTTTCAGAGGTGATGTCAATGATTTAATTTTTATGTGTCGTCTCTGAGTAGATCCCATCAACCTTTTTCCACTGATGGTTCAGTTTATTTTATTTTTTATAACTGCTTGAGAGAATAAAGGAATCCTAGGAATGTAGTGTAGAATTTTGGCCAGTGGATGAGGAATGGAATAGATGGCCTAAAGGGTGACATTTCTGCTCAGAGCTGATTTCTTGGTGACAGTCTTGTTCTTCGTTTGAGGTCCCGAAAGTTCTTTAAAGAGCCTCTCAGTGGAAAATAAGGGTGCAGCTGAATTCTGAAGCCATGATGAGAGCCCGTGAACTTTCTGGCTGCCCAGCCCCGCGTAGCACTCACCCGTGGAGGGACAGCATGCTGTTCTCTTAGGTCTGGAGCCCTGTAGTGGGTAGTACATGAAAATACCAGCAGGCAGGCTGAGTGGTGAGCATGCGAGCTCTCTGGCTCCTCCCGCCAGTTGACGGGGCTCATTAGCGTAAGGTCATGCTTCAGTCATTCCCTGTCGATTAGAGAGCAGACGGGAAGGGGCGCGCGCACATTTGTTAGGCAGCACTCTGTACTTCCAGGCCACATGTGGTCTGTGGTTTCTGTTCGAGGAGGGCTCTCACCTTCTTCCCTTTCTGACCTCTCTCTCCATGGATCTATCCTGCTCTCTGCTCTGGCTCCCAGTTCTCTGCTCTGGCTCGCAGTGGTGCTGGGCCCGCTCTCCCTTCTTTCTTTTCTTTTCTTTTCTTTTTTTTTTAAAAGAATTTATTTTTTTCCTTTTCCTCTCCAAAGCCCCCCGGTACATAGTTGTATATTCTTAGTTGTGGGTCCTTCTAGTTGTGGCATCTGGGATGCCACCTCAGCGTGGCTCGATGAGCGGTGCCATGTCCGCACCCAGGATTCGAACTGACGAAACACTGGGCTGCCTGCAGCAGAGCACACGAACTTAACCACTCAGCCACGGGGCCAGCTCCTCTCCCTTCTTTCTACAAGCTGATCTCAAATGCTGGAAATCCTGAGCAAGATTTTTTCCCACTTCCTTTTTATACCTTCAATCTTGCTTTCCCAGTTACATCTGAAACTAGCAATTAGGAAGCATTTTGGTATAAAGTGCAAAATTTATAAACATATTAAAGTCCTTCTTAAATGTGATTTTCAAAGAAAACAGGTCCCCTTTGACCCTGCTTTACATAGGAGATTATTTCCTAATCTGGAAATGTGGCCGTCCAGGACACGATTCCTTTCTTCCACTTTGGAGCTGTCCCTTTTGCTCAGAGAAGGCCCCTAATCACCACAGCAAGACGGTGGGGTTATCTCTGTGTCTCTTGGCCATTCTCAGTGCCAAGGGTGAGACAGGAAGGAGTGACGCAGCTGTCTCTGAGAGCCCTGGGAGGCCCAGCGGCCCAGGGGCCCGTTGGTGTGGCCACGTGCACTGCAGAGCTGAGTAACAGTTGGAGGTCTTGAAGAATTTGAAAAACTCCCCGACAGAGTGGGGATTGCCAGTTTGACCAGCCTCATCTGGAAATGTAACTCCAGGAAAGTTACCCTGAAATTGAACCGGATCCTCTCAAATAAATAGCTTGCTCTGGAGTGTCTTTTCCCACCACCATGACCCTGAGTTCGCTGGGCAAGGTCGGCACTGGGTTCTAATTTACTTCACATTCTGATTCTGTAAAACTTGCCAGACTGAATGCAGATGTGCGCTCTCCCCACAGAAGGCTGGCCCGTGGGCCGAGGATGGATCCCACTAACTTGGTGCCATATTTGCCTCGGGCAAAGTGGTCCCCAGGGCCAGGAGACCAAGGCTGGCATGCGATGTCGTGTCAGGTGCTCAAGGAATCCCAGAAGCATACGAGACGGTGTGTAGTTTTCTCTCTTTTCTTCATGTTGTAGATTGCTGGCTTGGGTTTTAAATAGGGGCATGAACATGTAGTTTGTTGAGAGCTGAAATTGTCTGACGGTGTGCAGCCTGTGTCTGCAGTGGGGAGCCTTGCTGGGTGGGTTTATTTTCATCCTGCTCCTTCCTGAGTGTGAAAAAAGGGTCGAAGGGACATTTGGGCACGTGTCTGTTCTCCTTGCTGTGCTGGCCTTGATGACTGTTATGGTAGCCACATTTTCCAGTACAAACCTTGGGATATGGGATCCTGACTTCTTCTGACAAAGTTGGGTTTGGTTTTCTTCCCCCCCCCCCCCCCCCGCCATTTCTTAATTTAATTAAAAGGTTTATGAAGATATAAATAGTAAACTACAGGGGCCGGCCCCACAGCCGAGTGGTTAAGTTTGCGCGCTCTGCTTCCGCGGCCCAGGGTTTCACCAGTTTGGATCCTGGGCGTGGACGTGGCATGGCGCATCAGGCCATGCTGAGGTGGCATCCCACATGCCACAACTAGAAGGACCCACAACTAAAAATACACAACTATGTACTGGGGGGCTTTGGGGAGAAAAAGGAAAAAAAATCTTAAAAAAAGAAGCAAACTATAGTGAACTGTATGTTTAATGAGTTTCCTTTATTTGGAAGAAACCAGTTTTCATAAATCAGGGACTTCGTCAGACAACCTTAGAAATCTGTTTGTCGTGAAACTAATTCCCGGGCCAGTAGCTCTGAGCTAGCCGTGGGTCATGATGGTGCTGGTGGCAGCTACATTTACTGAGCACTTACCTCACCAGGGCCGTGCACGCATTTCCATGTATTAACTTGTCTGACCTCATAACAAACTGGAGGTGGGTACTCGCATGCCCTCATTTTACAGATGAGGGTCCTGGGGCCCAAAGTGGTGCAGCCCCTTACCCCTGCTGGCAGAGGGCGGGCCGGGCTGTGAACCCAGCTGGCCAAGGGTCACCCTTATAGGCGCTGCACTGCGGTCGTCTTGCTGCAGTCTGTTTGTGTTTTCCAGGTGGTCTCTGAAACCTCAGGGTTTTGGGAGGCAGCAGCTGCACGCTGGTGCTTGGAGTCCTGGCCCTGCCCCAGCATGTGGGTCTGAAGGCGTGGGCCCCCCGCGCTCCGTCTCCACGGGCTGCGGAGGAGTGGGCAGAGCCCTTTCCACCAGCTGACGAGTGGAGCTCCGGGCCGCAGCCCAGAGGCCAAGCCCCGCTGTCCTTTCATGAGCAGCGTCCCCGCCCCCTGGTCACCCTGGACGGCAGCTGGGCCCCAGGTGATTCTGGGTCAGGCAGGCAGATCCACCTTGGAACCTGCCTAGTATAAGGATCTGGGATCGCAGTAGGGAAGAAGCTTCCCAAGTAGCCGTGCTGCTGGTTGACACCCCCCAAGTTTATCACATGAAACTTCTGAGCTCTAGTGACCCTGGGGCCTACCTGTGTGTTCTGTCAGTTGCTGTAATTTTCTGGTAAAGCCATCAAACCCGCAATCATTCCTGCCCGGGGCTGGGAAATACTCACACACCCTGCCACTCTTCAGGACCTGGGCCCTGTGAGGGCCCTGCACAGCACCCGCAGACCCACGGAATGCAGGGGCGCTGTTGCCTGCCACGGAAAGGATCCTTGGGTCCTGGCATCTCCCCTGGGATTTGGCCTGGCCTGTAGGCCAGAACACCTGCCTGAGCTTCCTGTTGGGGGAAGGGATGGTGCCAGTAGTACCCAGGGAAAGGGCTTGGCACTTTAGAAACCCCTTGAATTGCCAAGTCCTCCAGGTGTAGGCTTGGCACAATGCGGGGCGAGGGAGTGGACCCACTTAGCAGACAGTGTCCGGGCATTTTTCAGAAGGAGATTAAGTGGAGGTTGATGGGAAACAGTCAGTTTTACAGAAGTTTGTCCAAGAAAGTTGTTAATTTTTTATGATGAACAAGAATTTAGGTATATTTGGAAAGGTAGGTGAAAAATTAAACTAAATACTAAATTAGTTGAGTTGATAATTCAAATCAGAGCAGAACCCTTTTGCAGTAGAACCGTTTGGCCTGCCCTGAACCTAAACTTCAGGATCAAAGCAGCTCAGGATGTGGGTGGATTTGGGTTGGAGTTCAGCGGGTCGCAGCTTCGTGGTGCCCACAGAGTCGCCCTTGTCCTGGGTGAGGGAGTGAGACGCTGTCTGCAGGGTGTGCTGTTGAGGAGGTGTGGCACTCAGTAGGTGGTCACTGTCAATCTGGTGAGTAGTGGAGAGCTCAGGCTGCTTTGCAGGAGCTCTGCCCTTGGCTGCCAGCCTCTTCTTTCCCAAAGAGGGTTACTGTGCTCCTCATGTCCCGGTCCTGGAGGTGGACTGTGGGTGGACATTTGTGTAATAGACTTTGCGCACTTCTCAAGTGGCCTTACAGAGCATTTCGTTCAAAGGGACCGACATGGTGTTGCTCCTCATTAGTGCCCTTGACCCTCCTTTAACCCTGTGTCCCCTCTTAGCTGTTTCTCTGGGCACAGAGGCATGGGGGAGTGATGAGGAAGGGGCAGGCTTGGAGGGATGAGGAAAGTGGGGGCCGTGGGGAAGAAGCGGTATGTTTCTTCAGAGCTGACTGGGCTCTCTTGCACAAGCACCCGTGTGGGTCCCGGTCCCTCTGGCTGGTGCGACTCACCGCACACGTGAGGTGAGCACGTGCTCCAGTGGCCCAGCAGGGCAACCCGCTTGCAGCCGGAGTCGGCGCCCGTGCATGGCTAATGGCAGCCCTGTCTGCCAGCTTCCCTTTGGGTGTCCGTGAGACCTGTGGACAAGAGGACGCTTGTGGGCCATCGCCGATCCATCTAGGGGTCACCCCACCCAGAAATATCCATCTACCCAGGGCGGAGTATATAGATTGGTAAGGTTTTCTTTTAAAAAGAAATTTTCTAGTTTCACAAATGAGAGTGAAAATGATAATGGGTATTGCCTAAGTTCTTCAAAACCAGTTTCTCAAAGAGAATCTGGTGAGCACTGATAGGCCAGTACCTCTGGTAACACTCACCAGGTACCTGGTCCTATGCTGAATGCCTGTCGTAGCTTATTCTGGGGCGTGGAAGGAAGACTGCTGGGCTCAGAACTGAAGTCCTCACAAGAGGGCCCTGGGCTCTGTGTCACACTAGGGCCAAGAGGGTTGGCAAGTCTCCTGGGTTCTCTCATTTTGTCACTAATTCATTTGGTTTCGGTTCTTCTAGGAAGAGTCTGCTGAAGGTAGGGGTCATGGACTTCATCACCTCCACGGCCATCCTGCCCCTGTTGTGTGGCTGTGTGGGAATCTTCAGCCTCTTCAAGCTGCTGCAGCGGCTGCGCATGAAGGCCTACCTGCGGAACGCTGTGGTGGTCATCACAGGCGCCACCTCGGGACTGGGGCGAGGTAGGTCCAAGGGGCAGGGGGGTTGGCTCCGGCGTGAGGAGCAGCTCAGCTGCACGGGGATCACCAGAGCAGGTGCAGATCAGTGAAGCAGGCTGGGTGACTTGGGAACAGGAGTGTGTCACTGTCCTTGGTCCAGTTGGAAAAAACAAGAGCTTCAGTGCAATGAGAGATGGTCCCTGACTTTCAGCATCAGCGTTGGGAGGCAGAGGCAGTGAGGAAGACTGTGGAAAACGGGATACTGCACGTCCCACCGGGGGGCACCTTACTCAGCTCCAGCTGGTTGTAGAAATAGGGATTTTTATGTGAAGGCTCCCAATTTTCAAATATGGACAACCAATTTAAAAAGTGTTTTTACTTCTGTGAGGGCTGAACAAAGCATGCCTTTTCCTGGATTCAGCCAGCCTCCCGTTTATGGCCTTGCTGTCACCTGCTCCACACCGTCCCCTCACTGGCCTGTGCCTCCAGCCTCACCCAGGGCACAGCCTTGGCGGGGTTGGAAACAGAATAAGTAATGCCTCAGCTGTCCCTTACCCAGGTTCTCCAGGTTAGTTCCATTCTAATTTGGTGAATACTTTGAGCTTCTAGGTCCCAGGACTTGTGTGCTGGGACAGAGGCCTGGGTCAGCCACCTGCATCCGCCCCACAGATGAGTGTGCCGAGCTGCCGTCGCTTCCCTTGCACACACGTACACGCCTGCCCTGATTGAGTGTCTGACGTGCAAGGCTCAGGGCCAAGTGCTGGGACAGACGTGCAGAGCGGTCCCCTCCTGCAAGGCGTGTGCAGGGGTGGGGGGGAGGGGCTTACGCACTATGCTGCGTTTCAGCCTCGGATGTCCCCAGCAGGCCTGGTGGGGAGCCACACCTCTCTGTGCTGGTGCATGAGTGGTCTCCCTGGGTCCCCACAGCCGGGATTCAGAGAAAGCATGACTTGCCTTAGGACCTCTGGCTGGACAGTGTGAAGCCAATCCCTGATTCCAGAACCTCCAGTCTTGCCTCACCTGCAGGAATGGCAGGGAAAAGGCAGGCGTGGGCCAGCAGGGAGGGCGCTGCAAGGCAGCCCAGGGCTGGGAGTGGCAGGGCTGTGCAGGGGCGCACTTGGTGTGACGGGGGCGCAGAGGAGCAGACAAGGCCTTGTCTGCAGGGTAAGTGGCTTGCCCTCGGCCGGGGGAGCCTGGGAAGGCTTGGGTGGCGTGGACTTGTTTATACACCACTGATGCTTAGGTGAGGTGTCTGGGGTGAGCCCTGGGTCTGGCATTGGATACCCAGACCTGCATGGGGCTAGCTGCCTCCAGGCCCTTTGCCACAGTTGGCCCTTTGGCCTTACTCAGCTACTAAATATAGGGTACTCAGCAGCTGCTTCTCTTAATCTCAGAGAGAAGCATTTTTTTAAAGTCCTTGAAGAGTATTTGAGAGTTGGCTGAGATTGAAAGGTGAGTTGCAGGCGCTCTGAATCGGGGACATTTGAGGACACTGTCTTCTTCATTATTCCACATTTCCTCTTCTGGACACCAAGATTGTGAAGGGAATGGAAAGTGTAATTGAAAAAAATAAAACCTGTATATGTATATAATATAGCCATTTCCTGAATTCCAAATCACTCTACTTATGTTCTGCCCCATTTAACATCCTAGGGAAACAGGACTCCGTATATCCAGGCAGATAAAACAGGAACAGATTCTTAACCAGTGTCTCAGGTACAGACACCCTCTGCTGATGACTCCCACGGTGAGCTGCCCCTCAGCTTCTATGGGGAGGAGCCCCCGCTGCCCTTGGCAGCTGTGCCCGCCACGCCGGCCCTCCGCAGCTTGAGGTTATATGACGAGTCTTCAGACAGCTTTCTGCACTTCTCCTGTTTTGTCTCCTATTGTGTATATTTAAGCTACGTGAGCTTATCCTTGTAAAACAGTACAACCATTGACTAAAGGACCGGAATGTTCTGGATGCCCACTTTAGCCAGCCTAAGCCCTGAGGTCGTGAACAGCGATCTTGATTTATAAGCCAGTAGTCTGGCAGCACTGGAGAGCCGTCTGGCAGCCCTAGATAAATGGTACCTTGGGACCATCTTCCTTTTTCCCTTGACCCTCCTGCCTCCGTGTATCAGCTTTTTCAAGAAAGGAAAATGGAACCCTTGCAGTCTGTCTGCATTTCTGTCACTCCCTGCACAAACTTCAGTTTCCTCCCTTTTTGCCTCTGCTAGGAAGCAAAGTTTAAGCAGAATGCAGGCGACCCTTCTCCAGAAGCTGTTTAGACCAGCGTGCCCCTCCTACCTTTGGTTCTGCGGGTCTGCACCCTTTGGTGGTACCTCACAAAGTGTCTGTTGTGTGGGTCAGGACAAGATGAAATGGAGTGGGGAGGCCAGCAGGGCCGGAGATTCCGAATCTTTGGGAAGGATCTGGTAGGTGGATGGGCGGTTCCAGCTGCAGGAAGGCTTGAGAAATGCTTGTGTCTGGGTGCCACCCCCAGCCCTGCCCTGCCCGCGAGGGCTTTGCCGCTCTGCTGAGCAGGACAGCTGCGCAGGCAGGGTGGAGGCTGTGACCCCGGCCAGAACACCAGGGACAAGCGGAGCAGGGGCCGAAGCTCTGTCTGGGTCTGTGTCCTTTGTCAGAACGAGACAATGAGCAAACCAACTAGATCCTCACAGGGGCTGGTACAGCACGCCTGAAAATGTGCTGATGGAGTCTCCTTAGCACCTCCTTCTGGAAAACTCCATCTGGGGCCATGCAAGGCAGTGCTGCCCTGGGGATGCAGTGAGAGTTGTGAGAGAAGCTACAGGGAGGGGCACAGAGTGAGAGGAGAGGGCCTCGCACCCTGAGCCGACCCAGACGCCAAAGGTCAAAGAATGCTCCCTCCTTTCCTGGAGGGCACTGGGGCTTCTTCTTCCATCCTGTCTTGAACTCTTCCGGCTTTAAGGAATTTTGACACTTTTGTGGGGGAAGAGCTATCACACCAGCACATCCTGCCTGGAAGCTACAACCTCCTCGACTCCTCGCCGCGTGGCTCCCAGGGCAGGCCTGTCCCTTAGTGGGCACTAAGATGCCACTTGACTGCCTCGGCCTCTTAAGATTTGATCTGGGATGCAGAGGTCAGCAAGGGTCCGAGGGGTCTGCGCAGACCAGCTTGTGGGCCCCCGAGGGAGGCGAGACTCGGGTGAGAATGGGCAGTGCTCTCAGCCCTTGCATTTCAATTCTCCCCAACAGTCAGTTTTTAGGACATTTTAAAAGGCAGCTTAGAAATACAAATACAAATGCAAAAGTAGTGCTCTCTTCTGTAGTGCTTTGTATCTACTGTGCTGTATCTACTTTAACTCATTCGGTCCCTGGGCCATTTTTATCTGCATTTTACAGAAGAGGAAAGTGAGAAACAGAGGTTCTAACTTGCCCCAGATCACAGAACCAGTAAGTGTTGGAAGTCAGAGTTACACACAGGAAGTCTAGCTCAAGTCCCTTGACCACTGGGCTGACCTGCCCTTCACAAACTGTAAGCTTTCAGGGCACTGAACATTTAGTTAGGACATGTTTAGGGGCAGGGCAGGCAAGAAGCAAGAGGACCTCACCCTCTGTACTGCTTAGCCCCGGGGTCTGGTGGTCTCCCTCCCTGCCCCTCTGCCGTAGCCTCAGGGAGCTTATGTGGGACTCTTGCTGGGGTGGTCCTAGTGAGGCTGCCCCTGCCACGGCTGCTCAGAGCCCCTCCTTGGGGTTTTGACCCTGGAGCTTGGAGGAGACAAGTCAGCGGCCCCTCTCCTGTCTGGCAGAGGACTGGTGTTATGTGAACCCAAGGTTGCCCCAGCCCCGTTTCCATCTCGTGGAGAAGCCAGGCTGGGGGATGAAGTGGAGAAAGGACCGGCAGGCATTGAGAGAGGCTGGTTCCTGTTGCCAGGGCTCTGGGCAGCCACCACTGTCCCTCCCAAGTCTTGGATGTTCCGCTCTTTCTCTTAATTCCGGAGCTATCCCAGAATCCTCCTGATTAACTCCTCTTTTTGCTTTGCCCCGGTGTGAGTTGAGTCTCTTTTCTCACCACGAAAAGGACAGAGGTGTCCAAAGAGTTTCGGACTCTCCCCTGCCATGGTCTTAGTTGATGTCTTCATCAACGGTCACCTGAGATGTGGTAGTGGGCTCAGCTGAACCTGGTCCCCTTCCTTCCGACCCAGCAGGAGGGGGCCTTTTGAAATGCAGCCACCAGACCTTTGCTGTTGGAGGCACTCAGTACGCTTCAAGTCTTGAAACTATAGTTGTGTCATATCCCAGCCTAGCAAGGCTGTTACTCTCCACTTGCACCTGCCCATTGTCCCTAAGCTGCTTAGCATACTCTGCTCCCTTTACCTCAAGTTCTTTCTGGGGAAACAGCCCCTCAGGCCTCTTCACCCCTTCTCGGCAGAGCCCTGTGCCCACTCTGCTTCTACAGAATGATGTCAGTACCCCTAGGAGACAGGTCCCTATTGCGTTCAAGTGACTTGGGAAGCAGCCTGGCTTGTACTAGAACATACGCTTCGGCAGACCACAGCAGCACAGTAGCTGGCCCCGCCTGATCACGAGCACGTTGCTTGACCTCCCTGAGCTTCCTCGGTTGTGAAAATGGGGATAATGCTCACAGGGTTGTTCAGAGCTAAAGATCATTATGGAAAGTGCTGAGCATAGTGCCTAACAAACCCGTCTGCCAGTCCCTAGCTTCCTCTTGCCTGTGGGTGTCTGTCACACCACTGAGCATGAGCTCTCTAAAGCAGCAGCAGAGCTCATTTACCACTCACTTCGTGCCTGGTCCACAGCAGTCTAGTGCGCCTGTGTGGCGTGCATGAAGAGACAAGTGCATACTGGGAAACACTGGGTAAGTCTGCACTGACCTGCACTGGGGAAGAAAGGCATTGAATTTCCCCTGCTGTCAAGGCTCTTTCTTCTTCCCTTAGAATGCGCCAAAGTCTTCTATGCTGCGGGTGCGAGGCTGGTGCTCTGTGGCCGGAACAGGGAGGCCCTGGACGAGCTCACCAGAGAACTCGCTGCTTCTCAGGCCGCCAAGGTGAGCCCAGGGGTGTGTTTTCTGTGGGAAAGTCGTGCAGTCCATCCTCTGCAGGCATCTGAGGAGATAGCAGCCCACTCCTGGGCTGCGGGACGTGCAGGGTGTCCACACGGTCGCACTGTATGGGGAGGGCAGCCGGGCTCCAGGGCCTGAGGAGGAGCTGTTGTACGGTTCACATCCTGACTGCACCGCCTACTAGCACTGCGAGCTTAAGAAGTTCCTCCTGTGAATGCGCCCCCCTCACCTGGCTAATGCTGACTCATCTCTTTGGTGGGCGGGGGATAAGGGGGCAGGTTGGAGATGATTTTCAAAATTTTAATTGTGGAAAAATATATATATAACATAATATTTATCATTTTAACCATTTATAAGTGTACAACTCAGTGGCATTAAATACACTCGCAATGTGTGTAATTATCACCACTATCTATACCCAAAACCTTTTCATCGTTCCCAACAAAAATTCTGTACCCATTAAATAATAATTCATTCTTCCCCCCACCTCCCCAGCCCTTGGAAACCTTATTCTACTTTCTGTCTCTGAATTTGCCTATTCTAGATGCCGCGTGTAAGTGAAAACACGCAGTATTTGTTCTTCTGTGTCTGGCTACTTCATAACGTCGTTGAGGTCCGTCCATATTGTAGCATGTATCAAAATCCCGTTCCTTTTTATAGCAGAACAACATTCCATTGTATAGCTATACCACATTTTGTGTATTCGCTCGTTTGCTGGCGGACACCAGGGTTTCCATCTCTTGGCCATTGTGAATCACGGCTGCAAACGTGAGCGTGCAAATATCTCTCGAGTCCCTGCTTCCCATTCTGTTAGATGCATCCGAGGAGTGCAACTGCTGGGTCTTATGGTAGTTTGATGTTTAATCTTTTGAGGAACTGCCAAACAGTTTTCCACAGCAGCTGTGCCATCTTACATTCCCACCAGCCGTGCACAAGGGTTCCAATTTCTTCACGTCCTCACCAACAGTTACTATTTTCTGTTTCTTTTTTTTCAATTATACCCATCCTAGGAAGTATGATGTGGTATCTTGTTGTGGTTTTGATTTGCATTTCCTTAATTACAAGTGATGTTGAGCATCTTTTCGTGTGCTTGTTGACAATTTGTATATCTTCTTTGGAGAAATGTCTGTCAGGTCCGTTGCCCATTTTTCAGTCAGGTTGTTGTTTTTGTTGTTGTTGCTGAGTTTAGGAGTTCTCAATATATTCTGGATATTAATCCCTTATGAGAGATGTTACCTGTCAATACTTTCTCCCATTCAGTAGATTGTCTTTTCACTTTCTTGATGGTGTCCTTTGATGTACAAAAGGTTTCAATTGTGATGAAGCCCAGCTTATCTATTTTTTCTTTCATTGCCTTTGCTTTTGGTGTCATATCTGCGAGGTTGTTGACAAATCCAGTGTTATGAAGATTTTCCCCAATGTTTTATTCTAAGAGTTTTATAGTTTTAACTTTTACATTTAGGTCTTTGACGCGCTTGAGTTAATTTCTGTATATGGTGTGAGGTAATGGTCCAACTTCATTCTTTTGCATGTGGAAATCCAGTCTTCCCAGCACTAATTGTTGAAAAGATTGTTCCTTCCCCTTGAATGGTCTTGGCACCCTTGTCATAAGTCAATTTATCATGTATTTGAGAGTTTATTTCTGAGTTCTCTATTCTATTCCATTGGTCTATATGTCCTTATGTCCTACCATACTGTTTTAGTTAATGTAGTAAGTTTCAAAGTCAGGAAGTGTGAGTCCTCCAAGTTTGTTCTTCTTAGTCTTCAAGATTGTTTTGGCTATTCCTGAATAGCCATTGAAATTCCCTATGAATTTTAGGATGATTTTTTCCTGTTTCTGCCAACAGTGCCATTGGGGTTTTGATAGGGATTGCACTGAATCTGCAGATCGCTTTGGCTAGTGCTGCCATCTTAACAATGTTAAGTCTTCCAGTCCATGAACATGGGATGTCCTTCCCATTTAGGCTTGCTTTAATTTCTAGCAATGTTTTGTAGTCTTCAGTGTACAAATCTTTCACCTCCTTAGTTAGATTTATTCCTAAATGTTTAATTCTTTTAGTGGTTATTGTAAATGTGTTTGTTTTCCTAGTTGTATTTTCAGATTATTCATTGCTGGTGTATAGAAATGCAGTTGAATTTTGTGGGTTGATCTTGTACCCTGCAATTCTGCTGAACTGATTTGTTAGCTCTAAAAGCTTTCTGTGGATTTCTGCGATTTTCTATATATGGAATCATGTTATCTGCGAATAGAGATAGTTTTGTTTCTTCCTTTCCAATTTGGGTGTCTTTTATTTCTTTTTCTCCTCAAATTGCTCTGATTGGAGTTTCTAGTATGATGTTGAGTAGCTGTAGCAAAAGCATCCTTGTCTTGTTCCTGATCGTAGAGGGAGCACTTTGAGTCTTACACCATTGAACATGATGGGACCTGTAGGTTTTTCATAAACACCCTTTACCATGTTGAGGAATTTCTCCTCCATTCCTACTTTTCTGAGAGTTTTTATCATGAAAGGGTGTTGAATTTTGTCAAATCTCTTCTCTGCATCAATTTAGATGATCATATGGTTCTTTTCCTTTGTTCTATCAATATGATATATTATATTGATTGATTTTCTTACATTGAACCACCCTTGCATTCCTGGGATAAATCCCACTTGGTCACGTTGAATAAACTTTTTAATATGCTGTTGAATTTGATCTGCTGGTATTTTGTTGAAGATTTTAGCATCTATACTCATAAAGGATATTGGTCTGTAATTTTCTTGTGGTGTCTTTATCTGGCCTTGATATCAGAGTAATGCTGGCCTTGCAGAATGAATTAATCAGGAAGTGTTCTCTCTTCAATTTTTTGGATGACTGTAAGAAGTATTGGTGTTAATTCTCTTTTAAAGTTTTGTAAAATTCACCAATGAAGCCATCTGGTCTAGGGCATTTCTTCGTCAGGAGATTTTAGGTTACTGATTGAATCTTTTGTTTGCTTGAGGAAGACTGGCCCTGAGCTAACATCTGTGCCAGTCTTCCTCTATTTTGTATGTGGGTCGCAGCCACAGCATGGATGATGAGTGGAGCAGGTCCCCACCTGGATCCAACCCTGTGAAGCTGGCCACCGAAGCAGAACACACCAAACTTTAACCTCTTGGCCACAGGGCCGGCCCCAATACCTGTCTTTTTAAATCTGCTGAGACTTGTTTTGTGGCCTACACAGAGAATGTTCCGTGTGCTGGAGAAGAATATGTATTGTGCTGTTGTTGGGTGGAATGTCCTATATACATGTTAGGTCCAGTGGTGTATAGTGTTGTTGAAATCATGTGTTTCTTTCTTGCCCTTCTGTCTGGTTGTTCTATCCATTATTGAAAGTGGAGTAGTGAAATATCCAAATAGCACTGTAGAGCTGTCTGTTTCTGCCCCCAGTTCAGGTGATTTTTACTTCGTGTATTTTGAGGGTCTGTTTTTATGTACATAAGTGTTTACAATTGTTCTATCTTCAAGGCTGTAATGTACCTTTTATTATTATATAATATCCTTCTTTGTCTCTTGTAGCCTTTTTTTATTTAAAGACCATTTGTCTGATACAGTCTAGCTACCCTCACTGTCTTGGTTGCTGTGACGTGGGCTGTCTTTCACTCCTTCACTTTCCTGTGTCTGTGTCTCTAGATCTAAAGTGAGCCCCTAAAGGCAGCAGATAGTGGGGTCTTTTTTTAAAAAAAAAAACTCCATTCTGTCAACCTGTCTTTTGATTAGAGAGTTTAAAGTATTTACATTTAAAGCAATTATTATTAAGGAGGGACATACTTTTGCCATTTTGCTGTTTGTTTTCTATATGTTTTATAGTTTTTTTGCCCCTCATTTCCCGCATTACTGTCTTCTTTTGTGTTTAGTTGATTTGTTTGTACTGAAATGCTTTGATTGCCTTCTCATTTCCTTATGTGTGTAATCTACAGCTGTTTTCTTTGTGGTTGCTATGGAGATTACCTTAAATATCGTAAAGTTATAACAATCTAATTTGAATTTATACCAACTTAAGTTCAATAGCAGACAAAAACTGTGCTGCTATACACCTCTCTCCTGTCCCCTTTCTGCCATTCATGTCATAGATTACATCTTTATATGCTACTTGCCCAGTAATAGTTTTTAAATGCATTTGTCTTTTAAATTGTGTAGAAAATTAAAAAGTAGAGTTACAAACCAAAATTACAAAAATACTAGCTTTTATAATTGCTTTTGTATTTACTTTACTGGAGATCTTTAGTTCTTCATCTGGCTTTAAATTATACTGTCTAGCTTCAATTTCAAACTGAATAACTCTCTTTAGCATTTCTTGCAGGGCAGGTCTAGTGGTAACAAACTCCCTCAATTTTTGTTTATCTGGGAATCCTAATTTCTCCTTGACTTTTCAAGGATAGTTGTGCCAAGCAAAGAATTCTTGGTTGATAATTTTTCTTTCAGCACTTTGATATATCAACCCACTGTCTTCTGGCCTCAGGGTTTCTGATGAGAAGTCTGCTGATAATCTTATTGAGGACCCTTGAAGTGAAGAGTAGCTTCTCTCTTGCTGTTTTGAGGATTCTCTCTTTATCTGTTGCCAGTGGGATTATAAGGTGTGTTAGTGTGGCTCTGAGTTTATCCTACTTGGTATTGAGCTTTCTGGGTGTGTAGATTCATGTTCGTCATTAAATTGAGGATTTTGTCAGCAATTATTTCTTCACATATTCTTTCTACCCCTCTCTCTCCCCTCCTCAGATTCCCAGTGTGTCTGTTGGTTCCCTTGATGCTGTCCCACAGGTCCTTTAGGCTCTGTTCAGTTTCCTAAATTCTTGTCTTCTTTTTATTCTCCGACTTGGTAATTTCAGTTGTCTTCTCTTCAAGTTCACTTATTCTTCTACTTGCTCAAATCTGCTTTTGAACCCCTCTAGTGTATTTTTTCATTTTAGCTATTGTACTTTTGAGCTCCCGAATTTTTTTATAATTTGTTTTTTATTGATATTCTTGTTTTGTTTATACATCAACTTCCTGCCTTTGTCCATGTCTTCCTTTAGCACTTTGAGCATCTTTAAAGATGGTTGTTTTAAAGTCTTTGTGTAGTAAGTCCATCATCTGGGCTTCCTCAAGAGTATTTTCTAGGGATGTATTTATTGAAAACCAAAGGAACAGAGGCAATTCATTTATACCTATTGGAAGTCACTTCAGCCAGTGGTGGTTAAAACAGTGACAGCCTGCCTGCATGCTGTGCCCAGTGATTAGGACTGCAACCGTCATCAGAGCGCCACCCTGATATTGGGAGACAAGGTCTTGTTGCCCACCTTGGCTCCCTCAAGCTGCACCAGAAACATGGGTCTCCTTTCCCACAGCTGCCTGCCACAGGGCCAGGTGGATGGGAGCGGATAGCCACCACCAAGCTGACACTGAAATTGACCAAAATTATCTATAATTTGCCAGCTAAGCACCCCTGAAAGCTGCAAGCATTCACACAGTCTCCAGAGTTCCAAAATAGTCACTTCAGAGAGTTTCTGCTACTGCAGCTGTCCAGGTGGAGAGATGGGTTCCTGGCACTTCCTACTCTGCCATCATCTCTGATTTCGCAACCCTCATCTTTTAGATCGCTTGTTAAACTCACTTTCACTGGGAAGCCCTCTAAGCTAGACTGCTCAGGTACTCATTTCTCTAGGCTTAGACTTCTTCATCGCATTGTTTACAGGTGTAGAACTCATCCCTCTGCCCCACGAGACTGCATGCCTCAGGAGGACAGGAACCATGTCTGTCTTGCTCTCTGCTGTGTCCCCAGTGTCCGGCACATAGAGGATATATAAGAAATGTGTCATGATAAATTAAAGTGACTTAACCTGAGAAGGACTGCACTTCTCAACGGGGGCACTATTTAATGTAATAACAACATACAGCACAGTGCTGGCACAAGGCCCCAGGGGGTGCTGTGATTGATAGCTCCTGTGGTAATGGGCTACAGTGATTATACCATACACCATCCCTGCCCTGTGAACTATGGTCTGGCTCTAGCAGTCATTTTCATTTCAGTAGAAAAGCTGCCCAGGTCGGGTGTGAGCCTGGGGTGGTGTCGGGGGGTCCTCCAGGCCACATTTCTTCAGAAGAGAGGTGCTGCAGCCTATGTCATTTCATGCCCAGGGGACCACTCCCAGGATTCTGAACAGCAGAGACATGTGGCTCACATGGCCTGTCGCTCTGATGGTGCATTTGGTTTCTGTTGTATCTGACCAGGTGCAGACACACAGTCCTTACACGGTGACCTTCGACCTCACAGACCCTGGGACCATAGTTGCAGCAACAGCCGAGATCCTGCAGTGCTTTGGCCATGTGGATGTGCTCATCAACAATGCTGGGGTCAGCTACCGCGGTGCCATCGTGGACACCACCATGGACGTGGACAAGAGAGTCATGGAGACAAACTACTTTGGCCCCATTGCTCTAACGAAAGGTAACAATCTTGGATTAAAAGGAAAAAGAGCACAGATATGCTGGTATTATTTTACTTCACTTGGTTCCTTTCTAGCGAATGTCGCCTGTCCCCATCCTCTGTTTTACTCTGGGACAGGTGTTGTCATTACACCTGGGTGCTTGCATTTCTAGGCTGTGTCTGCACTTTATCTGCATACCACCTGAAGTCAAGGTGCTCTCCTCAGTGACAGCGTCATTTGTATAGCACTGCCACCATTTCCTTCTAATGGTGTTTGCAAACCTCTACAAAGTGGGGCTATTTTACGTTGAGCCACAGATCTCACTCCAGGGGTGTGGGTCTCCCTAGGAAAGGGGAACTGAGCTGACTGTGGGTGGAGATTAGGCTTCTGTCTGCCTCCCTCCGCCCAGCCCACTGGCAGTCTACTGGGGCAGGAGGCCTAAGAGTTCCAGCGGAACGGGTCCTCCCCTTCACCACTTGCCCCCCTTGCTCTGACCCCATCTCCTCAGCGGGGCCCCCCACTCAGTGTTGAGCGCGGCGCCCAGACGGGGAGGCCTCTTCACAGCCTCTGCCTCCTTTCCTTAGCGCTCCTGCCCTCCATGATCCAGAGACGACAGGGCCATGTCGTCGCCATCAGCAGCATCCAGGGCAAGATCAGCCTTCCTTTTCGGTCAGCGTGTGAGTACTTCCTTCTCGCCCCCAGATGTTCTTTTTTCTGTTTTTTTCTGATTATAAAAATAACATGTTTATGATCCAGAATTCAGACACTAGAGAAACACTCAATGCAGGATGTGAAGGAACTTCATCAGAATGTGTTCTCCTGAGCAGAATGCCTGGGTTCACGGTCTCGGCTCCACTTCTTACCCCTCCTCTATGTGACCTTCTGCAAGTGTCCCACCTGCAGAGAGGCGACCCACCTCTGTACCCCAGTCCTCATCTGCACAATGGAGACGGGGCCTCCTAGCCTCGGAGGGCCGCTGGGGAGACAGGCATCTGTGAGTGCTACGAGCGAGGTGCTCGCACGTGTCCTCCCCCAGACCGCGTCCCTCATCCCTCCGCGGCAGACGCCTCCACACTTTCTCTACATGTGATCAAACACACAAAAGCGAGGTCACACTGTGTGTACTGCTTTTTGGCTTGCTTATTCCACTTGACAGTCTGTCTTTCCACCTCAGCATATATGGGTTTACCTAAGCCTTTTAAGTGTTCTTTGAATGTATGTAACATAATTTATTTAACCATTTTCCTGGGCAGTTGATTTTTTCCCCATCAGGCTTTGATCATTAACAATGAATGACGGGCTTCACAGAACATCCTTAAATGTTTACATCTCTGGGCACTCACGGCAGGATTTGGGGAAGATAAATTCCAGAAAGTGGAACTATTAGGACCAAAAAATTAAGACTGTCAGATTGACTTCCAGTTCACCCCCTCACCTCCATGTGTGTGGGTGGCCATGCCAACATTTTGAGCTATCATTTCATTCATCTGTCTGCCATCATGTTGCACCAGCAAGCAAACAGAATCTAGTTTTGTTTTGTTAAGATATTTTAAAGGTAACTTCACAAACTGTCCCACGACTCCTTTCTTTGCTCCACCCTCTGAAAAGAAATGCTGACTGGAGCAGCCTCGTCTGCTCCTACCCCCTGCCAGTAGTGCAGACTTGTCAGAGCAGGAAGGGGAGCAGGACGCTCTGAAAGCACAGTAACTCCATCCTGCTGGATGATGTGGTGTAGCCAACTCTCGGGGTTGGAGATGTAACAAACGCTGTTTCTCTCAAGATGGGACCCAGCTCTAGCTTTTGGCTCTAGTTGTATGTCCTTGGGCAAGCTATTTAACTGGTCTAGCCCTCCCTTTCCTTACTTGGAAAATGAGCCATTATACACGCTTCACGAAGCTGTTTTAAAGATGGAACGACACAGTGGAGATGAAGAGTCCTCCGTAGATGGTGGCGTGCCGCATCCGTGCTGGGGCCGCCCGTGTGCCGGCGTTCTGTTTCAGCCCCACCACAGAACAGCCATCTCAGGCTGCTCGAATGGTTCAGGGACAAATACCTATAGAACCACAAATGACAAAGCAAATGAGGTAAAATGTTAACAGTAGGTAAGTTGGGGGAAAGGATATATAGTATTTTTGGAGTAAATTATCTCCAAACTTTACCTTGACCTCATCTCACTGGATTTTGTTCTCTGTTTGGGCTGTGACTGCAGTGGTCACACACGGTTGGTCTGGCGCTTTGTAACAACCAGACAAAATGTGGCAGTACCTGCTGGGCGCGCGGATTCCCCCTGATGAGCAACAGTCTTCTCTGTAAAATGTGAGAGCAGCTCCACACGAGATGCTCCCAGGGTGTGGTTCGCGCGTGCCTTGCAGAGAGGAGGGGCTGAGTCCTGCTCACAGTGGTGAGGAGGGTGTGGGTCAGCACCGCCTGGCGAGGCCCTACAGCCTGAGGCCTCCGGGAGACCGGTGGTCAGGATGCAGCCCTCTGTTCTGGGGACCCCAGGACGACTCGCTCTTCTGAGTCCTGGGCCTGGGCTTTACCCTGGAGTCACGGCTGATAGGAACAGTTCTCTCTACACACCTGCTCACGGACTACCATCCAGCCCCTGGCAAGTTGATCCAAACCAAAGGAGCTGGCCCCAGAAAAGCCCTGCAGCGGGCCCAGACGCTGCTAGATTTCTCCTGCGACTGGCTGGACACTTCCTTGCTTTTTTCCTTCCTGCTTTTTTGGCCGATAGATGCCCTTTTCCTAAGGCTGAAACATTTAGAACTCTGAATTGGAGGAAACTGGTTTTGCGTGGAGATGCTGTGCCTCCCGGAATGCCACTCTAGGGTCACGGCCCCTTCAGAGCACCTTTCGCCAAGGTGTGGGGCCATCGCTAAAGAGCAGAGGTGGCTCTGTTTTGCACAGGTGGAGCAAGCTCAACAGCTCTTCCTGATGAAAAGCCACTTGATGGAAGCCTGTCAAACGAAGTCCTAAATAGGCAGGCAGATCTCACACACTCCCGGACACACAGGGATGCTCGCTGGCAGCACAGTCTCAGGGACGACGTCTGGAGCCCACCCACAAAGGTCCCTTGATGGGGCTGGCTCTGTGTCTGGCAACCACAGAGGAGCAGGCAGGGCCGCGTGGCTGGCACAGAGGCTCCCAGTCTGTGTTACCAGATAAAGAACACTATTTACAGCTCATTTCTGTAAAAAAATATTCCTTATGTGTAAAATCACATGTATGTACACAGGACGTATAAACAAGTCCTGAGAAGCCATTAGCTGTGGTTACCACTGGAGAACGGAACTGGAAGGCAAGAGGGCCTTTCACTGTTTCACTTTATATCCTTCTGTACGATCTCAATGTTTACGCACTAGGCATTTTTTTTTTTTAACTTTTAATATGGAATACTTTCAGACTTAAAGAAAAGTTGTAGGAACAGTACAAAGAACTCCCATGTCCCTTTCATGCACATTCCCCAGCTGTTCACGTTTTACTGCATTTGCTTTCTCATATTCTGTGTGTGTGAATGCACACATATATGTATATGAAATTTGTAATATTTTTCTGAACCATTTGAAAGGCTGGAGCCCTCACGCTCCTCCCCTCCTACCTCCTTGAGGGCGTCTCTAAGAACAGGGGCACACCGCGCTCCTCCAAACCAGAGGGAAGATGGGTGCAACACTGGAGTCTTTGCTTATAAAATCAGTTTGTTAAACAAGAGGCAGTGAGTGAGGAGGACTGTTGGCTTGTCCCCCGCTGGCCCACACCAGCTCACTCACCTGTTTCTGTGCCACCAACGCTGCAGATGCGGCCTCCAAACACGCAACGCAGGCCTTCTTCGACTGCCTGCGCGCTGAGGTGGAGCAGTGCGGCATCGAGGTGACCGTGATCAGCCCCAGCTACATCCACACCAGCCTCTCCCTCAACGCCGTCACTGCCGACGGCTCCAGATATGGAGGTGAGGCCCCACTTTCTCTTCTCTTCTGGGGAAAGCTTCTGACCACAGTGAGACACACAGCTCTTACCTGACGGTTCTTTGGTCATTTTCATTTGGAATATAATTTTTAAAACTAAAAAACTTGACGTATGGGTATTGGTTTTATATCCTGTTGAATAATCTTCATTTGCCGCGAACCGTGCTTAGCTGAGCATCACCATTGCAGCTATGGGAGCAGGGCTCCTGTAGCCCAGGACCGTGAGGGCCGCCAAGGAGGTCCCCGAGCTGGCATGCTGCCAGACTGCCAACTAACCTCTTCTCAGGGAATTAAAATGAAGGCACAGTGAAGCCCTCACGGAAAGTATGAGTCGCTCAGTATGCTTGAGCAATGACTGATTTCAGGGTACTCAAAACAAAGAGCCCCGTCTTCTGGGGTGAGGCTGGGTGTGCCAGTCTCAGAACCTTCATTTTGCTTCAACCAAAGACGGTGTGGGGCTGAGCTGGTCAGCCCTAGTGGGCCACACAGCCAGGCCCCAGCACGCAGGCTCAGGCCACGCAAGGACCAGTCAGCGCTGCTCTTCCGCACCTGGACGGGGCCTGCCCACCACTTCAGTGCCATCCTGCCATGTCCCGCCTCCCTGGGTGTGGTCTCCTGGCCTGCGCTGTGGCACTCACCAGGGCCTCCTGCCATGCCCCACCCCAGCCAGGCCTGAGCAGGTCTGCCCATGCCCTGGGTGGCAGCTGCTCCCTTACTCAGCAAGTCACCAGAAACCATACAAAGACATAGAGCCAGAGAGGTTGATACCTATTTATAGAAGAATCTTTTTAAAAATTCCCTCTGTGGCAGTTAAAAACAAGCAACAATCAGAAACCTCCTGTTCGTCTCTGTTAACAAAAACACAGTGAGAAATACTGGTGAGGAAGCTCGGCAGTCTGGACAACTTAGGACTTGTTTCAGATGGTCTGTGGCCTCTCTGTGCTGCCAACTGGTCCTACCTTGTCAGCACATGTGTCAGGTTACTAGGGAGGAAGGAGCGGCAGTTGCTGTTAACCACCCTATCGCCTCCCAGACGCCCCGCTGCTGCCTCTGACCCCTCAGACATGGAGTTCTTCCTGTCTCCTCTCCGGGTAACAGAGGACAGCTGCTCCCCACCCACTTCTTTGCCTTCACTTCAGTGAGCTCATGGTGCACATGGGGCTGTAGTCTTCTGACCTCAAGCCAAGCTACCCAAGACAAATTTGATGGTACAGCATCCTGAGTCAGCGGTTGGTCCAGAAGGTGAAAACTCCCACGGTCAGGAGACTCCTCAGCTGTGGTGTGAGGGGCTCACTCTTTGAGACCCTGTCTGGGCTGGCCTTCGTCCTTTGTCGTAGCCCACCAGTTCTAAGCACTGCCTGGGGCCCCGTCGACCTTGTTCCCACGTCTCACCCACATCTCCCTTACGTCCACTCATGCGCTGCACTGCAGAATGGCTCCTCATTTCCTTGGAGCACAGAAGAGTCAGGGATGGGGCGTACTGCCTGCTTCCTGACTGATTAGGTGAAGAGCTTCCTAGCGGCAAATCTGGCAAGCCGACCCAGTGGGCCCATGTCAGCTCCTCTCCTCAGGAGAGTGACTTCTGCTTCCAAGTTCACGTGGGGTTTTTTTGTTTTGTTTCTTTTAGTTATGGATGAGAAAACAGCCCAGGGCCGAAGCCCTGTGGAGGTGGCCCGAGATGTTCTGGCTGCCGTGGGGAAGAGGAAGAAGGATGTGATCCTGGCTGACCTGTTGCCTTCCTTGGCCGTTTATCTGCGAACTCTGGCTCCTGGGCTCTTCTTCAGCCTCATGGCCTCCCGGGCCAGAAAGGAGCGGAAATCCAAGACCTGCTAGAGCCGCAGCAGAGCCGGGGAGGGGCAGCGCCTGCTCTGCAAGGACCGTGTGCTGAGACTTCTGGATATGGGCCTCCGGGGTGGGAAGGACGGAGACACACTTCTCCTGCAGGTCCCTGGCTAGGCCCTTGCTGGCAGAGAATGGGAACCAAAAAAGGCAACAAGCTTCTTCCCAGGGGAGAGAGGTAACCCTTAAGGAATAAATACGGAGCTGGGTTTTAACTCTAAGGATATGAAACCAGTGAATGGAACAGGCAGTTGTGCTCTTCAAGGACTAGGAGAACCACACCTCCTTCGAATTCCCGCCTCTGCCAGCTCCTAGAACACGTTTCAGTCTTGAAATAGAAGACATCCTGACGTCAGCCCATCAGTTGTTCTCACATTTGACTTATCCAAGACCTCTGACCTGATTGTCTTGGCAGGGCCCACCTTCAGCACTCAAGGCAGAAGGCTGTCGTAAAGGCTCATCACTTACCCATGTCCAGAGTCCTGCAGTGTCTCATTCAGCACTACACAGTGGGCTGATACGGGATCAGTCATTTGACACATCCCAAGTGATGCCGGCTTTAGTGCCTGAAAGGAATTCCCCAGTCTCCCTGTCGGCTCTCACTCGCAGCCCTGTAGGACCAGGTGCCACTCCAGGCAGAAGATGAACTTACTCAGGAGACAGCAGCCAAAAGGGAGAGGAGAATCCTGCGTGGTCCTCTGTGTCCTCTAGAAAATAAGACTCAGAAGCCCAGTCGGGCGGGAGTCGAAAACAGCGTCTGGTCCCAGGTAGAAGCAGTCCATTTGTTAGCTGTGACTGTTGGGGCATAGCCAGAAAGGATGCCTGCACCCACCTTTCTGACTTATTAAAAATACATGGCTGCGGTTCATTGAGTAAGTCAACTTCCGATCTCAAGTGTAGGATGGAACTCTTCCTCTGATTGAAGCTGACAGTGGAAAGTGGAAATTGTGAGTCCAGTGTATAGGCTTCCCCAAATTGGAATAAAGCTCCCAGCACCTTGGCATCTTACACTGTGTCCTAACTCTGGTCCATGGAGCTTGTATTTGAAACAGCTGCCTATGAAATAAAAATGGCCCAAGCCAGCCTGCAGTTGGGGCGTCAAAGGCTCTTGAGTTACCTGGGAGTACGGGGACAGGAGTGGATGGTTAGATCTGGTGGCTTTCCCCACTTCCCAACATGGCCAGGACATTCCAGGAGCCTGTGGTCGAAATGTGGACACAGGCATGCTGGGTGGCTTTTCCTTTTCCACACAGACTGTCTACCTCCCCGTGACGTGGAAGAGAAAGATCTCCTGAGTGTACACATCAGAGCTGAGAGCCAGGGGAGAGCTGGACCCGAGACAGCAGCAGCCACGCCAAAGCCTGGCCTGCGTCTGAGGCCGAGTCAAACTGCCGAGCGCCTAACAGGCCTCGGTAAGAGGCAGTGCTAGCGGAGCCTGGCCCTCTACATGGGAACAACAGAACTCTATCCTTGGACACTTGCTGCCTGGTGCTTTCAGAAGGGCCATGGCCAGGTGCTGTCCTTTCCTCTGCATTAAATAAAATGGTCCACAGCTGGAGATGACGTGACCCACTGCCCTCTGAGAAGTGCAGGTTTAGCAACGCGCACCTCATCCTCAAAAGATGGCATCCCCATGCTGTTGAGGTTGGTGGTTTGGGGGCCATGTGACAGAGGCTGGGAGCCCACTGTACCCTGCCTCAGGTGTGGGTGGGTACGTGGAGCTTGGAGCAGACATGAAGGGTCTCTCACCTAGATACCACACATGAGCCGCATCCCACTACCACTGTTTATTTACCTAACGTTTTCAAGAACTCACTTTCTAAAACTTACTTTAGAACTTTATATTCTACCATATAAATAGAAAATACTCTAACACAAACAGAACCATTAAAATCTAGCTAGATCCGGCTGTCTGCCAAAGGCTGAGTCTGAGGCCCAGCTGCTCCTGAGGAGGATGGCAAGCTCAGAGAGGCACTGAAGATGTGCTCACATCACACAGCCGCTCTTTTTGGCCTCAGAGGCTAGGAAGAGGACTAAAAGGGCCAGCGATTCCGTGTTCTTCCATGTCCACGTTGTACCTAGAGCCCTCCTGGGGGCCTCTGGCGTTAGGCACCCTCCCTGGAGAGCTGGGCAAGGGCGGGCCTGGGGAGCCCGCTGGCACTGGTGACTTAGATGCAGCCGCAGCGCCGTCCTGAGGGTAGGCGCCCACCCGCGCTGTGCGCAAGCATCCCGAAGAGGGAGCTGGGCCAGGACCTGACCTCAGCGTTTCGCTGTGGAGTTTCAAGCCAGTGTTTGAGGATGACTACCTGCCACCAGGGGTAGTGGTGTTGCTGCTGGTCCAGTTTCTCTTTTCTGTCCTCAAAGGTTTGTTTTCCCCTATCTTTCGTCCTTGAATTCTGCTGGGTTGGTGTAAAGGCACGCTTCTCAATTGGTTCTGCCTTCAGATAAAGTTCAGAGGCATTTTCCACTCTGCTCTGCAAGCCGCCTGCTGTTTCCCTGGGCCGAGGGCAGAGCAGACTCTTTTGGGCTTCGTGCCAAAGTTAAAGTCTCAACCACCACCACCAGATGCATTTCTCCAGACAGCAGCACTACACGTTGGTGTGCTCGCTGTAGAGTGGCCGCAGCTCACGGTGGCCAGATGACAGAGTGTATGCTGCCTGGCACACCCCCTGACTTCCAGCAGGCCCCAAGGAAGGTGGCTCCTGTCCCTGCCTGTCAGGGGCCATGGCTGCGAAGCCAGCGTGATCACTTTGGAGGGAGCTGATGGGCTGACAAGGAGACAAAGCCAGGTCCACTCCTCTCCGTCGCCTGACGGGCTGGCCTGTACGAAGGCTCTCTGCTCGTCTCTGAAATTAGGGTGAGACGGGCCGCTAAACCGAGGCTCATGTACTAGATGAAGAGCACGATCCACTCACTGACGTGGACACACAGGACTCACAGGACCCAGCTAACGTGGCCTTTGCTCTCAACTGGCAGTTATTTTGTGCTGTTTCTTCAAGAGCTCTGTGGCATGTCACAGATGAGCATAACCCACTTGTCAGCAACGTCTAAGTGGGAAGGGGGCAGAGATGAGCCGGCGCCAACAGAAGGGAAGGCCATCCAGACACAGGTGTTCTGCCACTCTCCTTCCTAGCCGACTCGGCGCTGCTTAAGTAGAGGGGCCTGGAGCACAAACCCCCGCCTTGTGGCCCACAGCAGCACCATGTCCTCACCTCCTTGGCAGGGACGTGTAACTAAGATGGCACCGCAGAATCTCGGCTAGTCCGCCCAACAAGAACCACTCTGTTCACGGCACTGGAGCCAGCCGGTTTGCACCTGACTTCTATTTCTGGTGAGGGCTTCTGCTTAGATGACCCGAGATGGCCACTGCGTGTCTGCTTCCAACCACCTCCCCCATGAAATCTGATTTGCAGGCAGAGCATGGGGCTCCCCTTCCAAATCTGGGCTGTTTATTGCAAAAACACATACCATTCCTGCCCAGCAGGCTTGGGAGCCAGCAGACACCCAAGGGGCTATGGGCACTGCATGGTTGAGACAAGGTCTGTTTGTCTGGGATCACTACCAGTTTACTGTTGTTCCAGAAGGCCAGACTGCTCTGTAAACAGCAGTGTGTGCCTGACCCCATGCAGCAGCCCGCACTCACCGAGTGATCTCTAGCGCCCTTGGAATTAAACTCTGTCAGACTCTTTGTGGGCCATGGGTCCCTTCTGAGATCTTAAAAGCTCTGGATCTCCCCCTATAAAAATTGGTCCAGCCACCCCCTTGAGTCCTCTGATGCCTTCTCACACCCCTTTGGCACTCCCTGGTGTCACTTCTTCCTGGTGCATCCTTTAAAACTAGGAGAGAAATCAATCTGGCTGTCTCTTAAAGACGGGCCTTTCAGACGGCCGTGCTGTGTAGCTCTTCAGGGACGACCGAGGGCAGAGGTCTCAGGAAGGCTGCAGTTAGGGGGGCCTGGCCTCTTTGTGGAGGGGATAATTTCCCATTTATCCAGAGCCTTAATTTCCCATTTATCCAGAGCCTTAAAAGGAATGTGAGAGACAGTGCACAGTGTGCCCTTTGGTGTGGGAGAGGTGCAGGCGCGCCAGGCTGGAGTGCGGCCGCGGAGGCTGCTCTCGGCCCTCCCCTTGGCTCGGGCAGTGGGCTGAGCTCAGTCCACATCACGAACAGCTTCAGCGCTTTCAGAAAAATACAGACATTAGTCTCTGTGTCTTCCTACATCAGAATTTCTAGACAAGAGGTCCTAGACCCCATGTCCTCACGTGAACCCAAATGGAGATGCACTGGCCCCTGGGTCTCCTTCCCAATCCTTACGTGACCCTGAACAGTTCTGAGCAGTGCTGGCCTTGCAAACAGGGCCCAGGGGAGACGTGAGACTGCTCTGGGAGGGGTCTGGCCCCAGGACCACTGTTCAAAGGCCTGTTCTTGCTGCAAGTGGTGACATCAGGCTGCAGCAAGGGGCAGGGAGCGTGCCTTTCCTTCCACTGCACGCGGCCCCCAGAGCAGAGCGTGCAGCAGCGCTGTAGGCACAGTGAGGGAAAGAGGACACACCTGCCACTGAAATTCTCGTCATTTTAATAGTCGACAGCTTCTGCTTGGCTCTGAATGGTACAGTTAAACAATACACTTAACCCCCGAGCGCGTTCACACCCCTCTGCGTGGCTCCCATCAACACCCCGCCGCCCAGGCAGACTCCCACAGCCTCAGGCCCCGGGGGTGACAGACACCCGCGTCCTAGTGTAATGAGCTGAAACCCTCGGTACACTGATCTGTGGTAGTATTTAAAATAACAAATATGAAACCAAACACCTTCCCAGGTCTGCTGCCTCCGAGCAAGGCTGGGGCCGCGGCGTCGGAGCCCTCCGGTCTCTCGTGGCTGGTCTGCGGCTCCCCGCTGGCGGCAGTCATACGGCGTAGAGCTCGTAAATCTTCTTTACACAGTACACCAGGGCGGCGAGGGCTATCGTGTTGTGCAGTCTCTTTCTGTGCAAGTCGTCCTTCCGGACCAGCACCACCGGGGTGGAGGAGGTGAGTGTGTGCAGGGGCAGGCGGGACAGTTTGTAGGCGTCGTACTCCACTTGGTACTTGCAGCAGGGATCGAACTGCCAGGAGATCCCGTAGAGGGTGCAGCAGGCCAGGCTCAGCACGCCGGCAGGCAGGGAGATGTAGTGGGAGTAATCCAGGGGCAGGGCCAATGGCGTGAAGAGGCAGGCAGTGCCTGCCAGCACGGTGGTCTTGTGCAGGCAGTTGCCCACGGTGATCCAGCGGGCGGTCTCGTCGCCAATGCGGGTGGGCTCGATGACGATGTACTTGTACTGCGCCTCCAAGGCCTGCTCCAGCTCGTACTCAAACTGGTCCTGGGCGCTCTCCCCATTGTAGATCTCGTGCACAATGTAGCAGTCTGTGGCTGACACACTCACCCTGGCGGCGGAGGGCGGGAGAGAGAGGAGATGGTTAGGCTGAGAAGCACCTGCTGCGTCTTTCCGGGCGCGCACGGGAAGGGCCCTGAGGGCAAGGCTGGGCCTCAGGCTGCAGAGGGCCTGAGCTCCTGTGGGCATGCCTCACTCATGTTTTTATCTCCCTTAGACTCTGTGTACATGATAATCAGTAAGGAATTTATTTTTTCTGAAAGAATAAAATAGTGAAATATAAAAAGACACAGAAAAGGAGGACCCAACCTCTAAGAAGATGACAACTTACAACAGGCCCCGGGCCTGGCCGTTAGCCTAGAGCATGGACTGACAGATCTGTGCATCAGCAGAGGAGCCCTGAGAAAATGATTTCCGCCCCGAGTCACATGAGCACGGACGGAACGAAGCCTGAGGTGGGCAGGATGAGCTCTGCCCTGGGGTCATCAGGGCAACTGCAGGAGGATCCTTCGAGGGAAACAGACCCGAGACAGATAACGCCAAACACCGTGCCCTTGGCACAGTTCACAAGTAGTCCTCCTTGGCCTGCAGAACAGAAGGCAAGTGGGGTCACCTTCGCCTTGGGGGACTGAGGACAAACTCCTCTGGTCCTCAAGGGAGGACACGCTGCCCACAGCCCCCAAGGCCCTTCCCAGGCCGGCAGCCCCAGGAACCTGGCTCACTGCTCAGAAAACGCAGCCCTCTGATTGGGTGAGCAAAGACAGGGCCCCAGGAACAGCAGTGACTGAAATCAGTGGGCGGCGGGGGGGTCACATGAGGCCCAATGTTCTCACCCATGCTGCCCCTGCTGGCCCAGGAAACGCTGCTCACACACGTAGGAAGCACTGTTCACGAAGACCCAGTTCAAGAGGCTGAGTTGGCCCAGGGAGGGCTGCTGGGACCTGTGCTAGCGGAGGACAAGTCACGGCCTTCTGGAAGGCCTGGCACTGCATCGCGCCCGGACAGCAACCCGGCTCCACCTGGCAGTGACCACAGGCCAAGGGGGCAGTTTAGGCCATTGTAGGATTCTCAGTTGGAGGCCTCTCCAGGGGCAACTTCCCACCCCTGCAATGGGCAGACCTACATACAGCCCTGCAGAGGCCCTGTCGTCTTGGCCGGGGGGTCCCAGCCTGCCCAGGGCTGGTGGAGTGTCTACA